TTGAATGACCTTTCATTTGATACCAACAGCCTTGATCCTTTGACCTTGAACTTGTAGATTTCCGTACTTGTGAAGAAACTTTAACCTTGGCTATAACTTTTGAACGGTAGGGGATAGGACTTTCATACTTCAAATACTTCAAATACTTGATCTTTGTGAGAAGTTACTTCATTGGATACCGAGAATTTTGACCCTTTGACCTTTAAGATTGACCTACTTTAAAAAAGCAAACATTGACCATAACTTTTAAAGTCTAATGGCTAGTGCTTTCATACTTAACATATTTAATCCTTGTGAGAAGTTACTTCATTGGATACCAAGAACATTGACCCTTTGACCTTGACGTTGGAGTTTGACCTTCTTTTTAAAAAATAACCTAGGCCATAACTTCTGACCGGTTAGGGTTAGGGCTTTCATACTCTATATAAGAATTCTATGTGGCAAGACCTTTCATTTTGATACCAATTACATTGACATTTTTGCCTTGACCTTAGAGATTTTTGTACTTATAAAAAAAACCTTTAACATTGTCACAAATTTCACAATTGTTTTCCGTTGAGAATACCTTATTTTTGGTACCTATTAATTAAATTTGCATTTTAAAAAAGCTTAATAATTGCTATGTTGCCATATGGGGGCATCAGTGGTACACAAACACATCTTGTTTATTAGGTATTCATATGATGCATTCATTTACAGCAAATTATTTTAAAAGAAAGCATCTAATTTGGATGTAAATAATCATAATCCTACATGTCATTCATTGCTGATGATTTATTTTAGATTGAAATTATTACCATGATCTTAAAAGGGTTTTCCTACCTACCTGTAGCTTGTACACGCTAATAATTCGACATCGAACTCGGCAACTCCTTCCCTTTTACAGAAATTAAAAAGATCAGTTTAACCTGAAGATATGTCCCTGATCTCAGAGCTTTCTATCACCTACCTGTACCTTGTACCAGATAAGAATACGACAAAATATTCGTCTTATTCCAACCTGTCTGTCATAGATTCTAATTTATTTTATACTGAAATTATTACCCTGATCTTACTTGGCAACTCCTTACCTGTTATGGAGATTCAAAAGATAGGTTTAACATGAAGATATGTCCCTGATCTCAGAGCTTCATCTCACCTACCTGTTGCTTGTACCAGGTAAGAATACGGCCAAAATATTTGTCATATTCCTACGTGTCTTTCATAGATGCTGATTTATTTTGAACTGAATTTCTTACCCTGATCTTACTAGGCAACTCCTCACCCTCTATGGATATTAAAATGATAGGTTTGACCTGAAGATATGTCCCTGATCTTAGAGCTTCTTCTCATCTACCTGTACCTTGTACCAGATAAGAATACGACAAAATATTCGTCTTATACCAACCTGTCTTTCATAGATTCTGATTTATTTTATACTGAAATTCTTACCCTGATCTTACTAGGCAACTCCTCACCTTTTATGGACATTTAAACGATAGGTTTAACCTGAAGATATGTCCCTGATCTTAGAGCTTCTTCTCACCTACCTGTACCTTGTATCAGATAAGAATACGACAAAATATTCGTCTTATACCAACCTGTCTTTCATCGATTCTGATTTATTTTATACTGAAATTCTTACCCTGATCTTACTAGGCAACTCCTCACCTGTTATGGACATTTAAAGGATAGGTTAAACATGAAGATATGTCCCTGATCTCAGAGCTTTCTCTCACCTACCTGTACCTTGTACCAGATTAGAATACGACCAAAATATTCGTCTTATTCCAACCTGTCTTTCATAGATTCTGATTTATTTTATACTGAAATAATTACCCTGGTCTTACTCGCCAACTCCTTACCTGTTATGGAGATTCATATGATAGGTTTAACATGTGGATATGTCCCTGATCTCAGAGCTTTATCTCACCTACCTGTTCTTTGTACCAGATAAGAATACGGCCAAAATATTCTTCTTATTCCAACCTGTCTTTCATAGATTCTGATTTATTTTATACTGCAATTATTACCCTGGTCTTACTCGGCAACTCCTTACCTGTTATGGATATTTAAAAGATAGGTTTAACATGAAGATATGTCCCTTTTCTCAAGAGGTTCCTCTCACCTACCTGTACCTTGTACCAGTTATGAAACCGACAAAATATTCGTCTTATTTCAACCTGTCTTTCCTAGATTCTGATTTACTTTATACAGAAATTATTACCCTGGTCTTACTCGGCATCTCCTTACCTGTTATGGAGATTCAAAAGATAGGTTTTACATGAAGATATGTCCTCGATCTCAGAGCTTTCTCTCACCTACCTGTACCTTGTACCAGATAAGAATATGACAAAATATTCGCTATATCCCTTCCTGTGTTTCATAGATGCTGATTAATTTTATACTGAAATTCTTACCCTGATCTTACTAGGCAACTCCTCACCTTTTATGGACATTTAAAGGATAGGTTAAACATGAAGATATGTCCCTGATCTCAGAGCTTTCTCTCACCTACCTGTGCCTTGTACTAGATAAGAATACGGCCAAAATATTCCTCTTATTCCAACCTGTCTTCCATAGATTCTGATTTATTTTATACTGAAATTATTACCCTGGTCTTACTCGGCAACTCCTTACCTGTTATGGATATTTAAAAGATAGGTTTAACATGAAGATATGTCCCTTTTCTCAAGAGGTTCCTCTCACCTACCTGTACCTTGTACCAGATAAGAATACGACAAAATATTCGCTATATCCCTTCCTGTGTTTCATAGATGTTGATTAATTTTATACTGAAATTCTTACCCTGATCTTACTAGGCAACTCCTCACCTTTTATGGATATTTAAAAGATAGGTTTTACATGAAGATATGTCCCTGATCTCAGAGCTTTCTCTCACCTACCTGTACTTTGTACCAGTTATGAAACCGACAAAATATTCGTCTTATTCCAACCTGTCTTTCATAGATTCTGATTTATTTTATACTAGAATGATTACCCTGGTCTTACTTGGCAACTCCTTACCAGTTATGGAGATTCATAAGATAGGTTTTACATGTGGATATGTCCCTGATCTCAGAGCTTTCTCTCACCTACCTGTGCCTTGTACTAGATAAGAATACGGCCAAAATATTTCTCTTATTCCAACCTGTCTTCCATAGATTCTTATTTATTTTATTAAGAAATTACTACCCTGGTCTTACTCGGCAACTCCTTACCTGTTATGGAGAATCAAATGATCGGTTTAACTTGTAGATATTCCCCTGATCTCAGAGCTTTCTCTCACCTACCTGTACCTTGTACCAGATAAGAATACGACAAAATATTCGCTATATCCCTTCCTGTGTTTCATAGATGTTGATTAATTTTATACTGAAATTCTTACCCTGATCTTACTAGGCAACTCCTCACCTTTTATGGACATTTAAAGGATAGGTTAAACATGAAGATATGTCCCTGATCTCAGAGCTTTCTCTCACCTACCTGTACCTTGTACCAGATTAGAATACGACAAAATATTCGTCTTATTCCAACCTGTGTTTCATAGATTCTGATTTATTTTATACTGAAATTATTACCCTGGTCTTACTAGGCAACTCCTCACCTTTTATGGACATTTAAACGATAGGTTAAACATGAAGATATGTCCGTGATCTCAGAGCTTTCTCTCACCTACCTGTACCTTGTACCAGATTAGAATACGACAAAATATTCGTCTTATTCCAACCTGTCTTTCATAGATTCTGATTTGTTTTATACTAAAATTATTACCCTGGTCTTACTCGGCAACTCCTTACCTTTTATGGAGATTCATAAGATAGGTTTTACATGAAGATATGTCCCCGATCACAGAGCTTCCTTTCACCTACCCGTACCTTGTACCAGTTATGAAACCAACAAAAAATTCGTCTTATTTCAACCTGTCTTTCATAGATTCTGATTTATTTTATACTGAAATAATAACGCTGGTCTTACTCGCCAACTCCTTACCTGTTATGGAGATTCATAAGATAGGTTTAACATGTGGATATGTCCCTGATCTCAGAGCTTTATCTCACCTACCTGTTCTTTGTACCAGATAAGAATACGGCCAAAATATTCTTCTTATTCCAACCTGTCTTCCATAGATTCTTATTTATTTTATACAGAAATTATTACCGTGGTCTTACTTGGCAACTCCTTCCCTGTTATGGAGATTCAAAAGATAGGTTTTACATGAAGATATGTCCTCGATCTCAGAGCTTTCTCTCACCTACCTGTTCTTTGTACCAGATAAGAATACGGCCAAAATATTCGTCTTATTCCAACCTGTCTTCCATAGATTCTTATTTATTTTATACAGAAATTATTACCCTGGTCTTACTCGGCAATTCCTTACCTGTTATTGATATTCAAAAGATAGGTTTTACATGAAGATATGTCCCTGATCTCAGAGCTTTTTGATTAAACCCGACATAGTTTTGGGGATATATATTAAAGAATCACTTGCCTAAATAGTTATCCATTTGTCTGTGCAATTTTGTTCAGGTGACATTTGAAGGTCATACTTCTACAAATATTGTTTTGACCTTAGGAGGTGTCATAATTAATGCCCCATTACAGAAATACTCATATGGGATGTTAAATACCATTCAGTTTATCAATCAGTCATGTCATGAATGTATTACTCTAATACATAATTATCAAAAGTTGGAACTTAGGGCATTTGAATGTACATATGTCATAAATGAAAATTACTAACAGAAGTTAAATGGTGATGGTAAATTGATTGATTTTTGATGATTTACCCTGAGTTGGCAATATTTATCTGTATCTCTTGGTGGTACACTGGTAGAAAATTATGGTGTAGAATGAAAGGCAGTTCCATAATTCTTTTACAGAGAAACTTGTACAAAGATTATGAATGCCAAAAGGATGGGTTATTCTTTAAACTATCTACAGTTAACTTTTTTAACTTTAAAGTTTAATGGAGAAAGTACTAGGCACTGTAGAATTTTGCTGGTGGAATTATTATATTTTAATTTGGTAGATCACCTACAATACAATATCTCTAATTAAAGGTGCCCATTTGATGATTTTTTTATTTGACGTTCTATAAAATTAATTAAAGCTGCTATGAACCACATTGGAGGCATATCAGATGGGTTCAAAGACAGCCCCTCAATGAAGCCTTGGAACTCAGAAATTCGGAGAAGGGAATTGAGGAGAGAGCAAAACTCTTTGGAAAGGTATCATTTGTTCATATGTGTCAAAAGAGATTATTAGATTTTAATACAACTAACTATCCTAAAATGAAAAAGCAAGGAATTAGTATTAATAGTAATAGTCAATAGTGAAATCAAATATGTATGTGCTTTTATATATTGATAAAATTATAATTTCAAACCAAATATTTTATTCAATCTATAGGGTTTACCAGAATTGAATGCTTTGATTTTGGGAGAGTTTGGGGTGTTCAAGCCTAAATCAATCATGTAAGTTCTTTTTTTTTCATGCATTTTCCCCCAATAGTAAATTTTCGCCACTATTGCTTTCTATCTGTTTTCTCCACATGTTGTGCATGCAATGGAGCATTGATGTTAAATTTGAAAAATTTGAAAAATTTTCAGCTTAATATTCTTTGAGTTCGACCAATTTCGACATATATCATCTATGGGTAAAGGGAAACAAAAATTGTAAATTTCATTTATCAGTTTTTTTTATTTTGATCTATAGATCATTACATTATATGGTGAGAGTTAAGGCCCTTGGGCCTCTTTTATATACATATTTCTTTTATCACACTGGTTATTGATATAAGTTCCTCATATTGATGTTTCCATGTATCTTATTTCCAACTTCAGAAGAATAGGTTACTGCCATGGTCACTATTTGTCCATGAAGGATGACACCAACAGACTTCTCATGGCTACACTCGAAGATGAGTATGTGTTTATTTGCTACCTTTATCCTTCCTTTTAAATTTGAATTGTTTTTAAATTGTTCAATTTTGTAAGAGAGAAAGAGAGAGAAATATTTTGTCATCCTTGATTACATAATGCATAACCTATATCAGAGACTTTTTACTGCAATTAGGCCTAAGGTTCTCATAATCTTTTCGGAACAAAGCTCAATGAGTCCCTAATTTCTGTCTGCTGTATGTTGTGTGGCATCAGTAACTTTTAATAGTACACTTCACCAGAATAAATAACTTGTATCTCTATTTAAATTCTTCATTTGGAACCTGATGGGATTGAAAAATAAAATTTAGACATCTGAGGGTTAGAGATATCCAAAGTAGAATAATGAAGGAATAAGCTTTTGAAGTATCCTAATCACATTGCATCTCCATGGTAATAGAGATATCAGTGTTCTAGATAACGAAGATTGACTGTATATAGATAAAAATAAGATATCAAGCTAATTTAGAGAATCAGTGTCCCCAACTTCAGGGAAAAAGGAGAGGATGCACAGATCTAGGGGGCTGGAGTCAAGAGGGGGACTTTGAGAAGGGCAGGCAGGGCCATAGGCATTAATGATGTATAAAAATTAATGAAAACAATCAAAAGCTTGTTGGGATATCACTGCAAAGGAAAGTTGAATGTAATAGTTTACAACCATGACCTTTGACTTTCTGAACTTGCAATCTGCAGGGGTCTACCTTAGGCCATAGGAATAAAAGAGATAATTTGAGCAAAAATAAAAGTATTACAGACAGACAGCAATACAAACTGAAAGACTGACAGAAAAAAAAACTTGCAAAGTTGATATCCCTCACTTTCAGTGAAAGAAGCAGAAAAAAATCTTTTGAAGTACATCAATATCTTGCTTAATGCACTACCACCGTTATTATCCTTTTAATAAATATAATTGATAAACAGGTTCCCAAATAGGGAATTTTGTATCCTGAAAATTTATTTGCAATGGTTGCATTTTGAAAGAACAAGTTTTTCTGTATATGATAGAATGTTCGAAATATGATGTATATACAAACATCCAAAAGTTATGTATAAATTTTATTCATTAATTTATTCCCCTCCCCTCCCTATTGAAGAAGGGAGGCCATATTGTTTTGCTGCTGTCTATTGGTTGGTCCACCGGCAGTTTCTGTTCATTTTCTAGACAGAAGTGGCAAATTTTAAAAATGAACTCCAGTTAAGAAATTACCACTTTTTGTGGGAGGTTAATTTTCATTGATTTTGTGTCAGGAAGAGATGCATATATATATATATATATATATATATATATATATTCCTACATGTAATCCAAATTCAAATCTGATGGCATTGGTGTCTATTCCCGCATACCAAAAAAAGAAGACACCATAAAAATAATAATATTATTTTCAGTAGTTTTTAAATTCAAGTTCACAAAGCAGTAATAATTGAATTCTGAATGAAGGTTGTCATTTGGGTCAACTACATCAATTCACAAGCAAATGAATATAATTGCATCATCTTATTTTTCTGTCTTACAGGATGGGCCAAAATATGAATGAAGGACTGCAGTATTTCAGGGATGTTTTGTTTGTTGAAGGGGAGATTTTACTCGCGGCACTGTTATGGAATTTGTCCTCATCTGAAGCTGAGTGCCGCCTTTATCCGAAGAGTTCATAAACCTTTTTTTGTTTCTGGTGTGGATGTGTATTAGTGTATGTGTCCATGGCTCTTTATTTTTGCCTAGTGTAGTAGCTAACTACATAAGAAATGTTATTAGGGATTTTTAAATCCAAGGAGCACATGCAAACAAAAACTACTTTGCAGTCTTTCCATATTTAAATAAACCATTTCAATATAATTAAATATTGGCACTTCAATCTTTTATCATGAAGGTTTTGTAAAATTGCAATTTGTATATGATTTACTTTAAGTGCCTTGTTATATATTAGAACATATTATTTTAATCATAATATTCCAATCCCTCTGATTGGCTTAAAGTCGGTCACATGATTAAGTATATAACAGCATATAGACTTGAGTTACTATTTATAGAATCTGAAATGCATATTAACTTGATGTTTCTTAAAATGGAGTTAATTTTCTGTAAAGCGAAAAAAAGTCATCATTGCAAATAATTTCATTTACGTGACATGAACTTGTTTAATAATGTTATGATATAACAGTATCTGTATTGTACATATTGTCATTCTTATCCATCACGTGATCATTATTGATCCATTTACCAAAAGAGAAAGCATGGTTTATTGAACTGCTGAATTTTTTTAACCCACCATCCACCCCATCTGCCACCAATGCTTGTTATTTCTTTCAGGTTGACATTTTTGTTATGTTTTAACCATCTTTTTATGATAGTGTTCGAATGGGATAAAGTGATTTTTAATATTCATTCTCCAGTGGACGTTCTAACTGAAAAAGTAAATTTTTGTACATTGTAATAAATAGCAATTCCATGTATTAGATTACTGAGATTGAGTCCGCCATTCATTTTGTGTACCTCGCAAATTTGCTTCTGTCTGCAGCTTTCCTTTTGATTTTTAAACATTAATCAGTGTTACTTTTTATATATATTTTTTCCTCAGCGGTGAGGGAAGCATTTTTTGTGTTCAATTTAATGCCTATCTGATTGCTTTGTTATTGGCTGTTTGTTATTTGGTTTTCCCACCTTTTTTGATGGCAGGCAGCAGTTTTGAGCATTTTGTATATGTCTTCGGAACTTATGATGTTTATAAGGGGGTCAGCTTGAAATACATGTGTATTGTAATTTGTGAAAGATTACAGGGTTTGGATTCTTATTCTAGTCTGGTTGACCCCCCTTTTGCCTATGTACATCATGTTACAATGTCATTATGGTTCTGGGGGTCAGATTGTTTAATATTTTGACTAACATGTAATACTCTATATTTGAGTCCTCCTTTTAATGACCCCAATTTTATTAACTGTGTTTACCTTTCCGTCATTTACAGTAATAAATGACATATTTTACTTCTACTTGATGTTATTTGTTTTTGCCTGCTTTTAACAAAAAAAGCTCAGTCATTTGGCAGGAGAACTAAGGAACATAAAATTAATAATATTGATTTTACAATTATAGCTAATAGGGTATATGATTTAACATTTCTGAAAAAAGCATTTACTTCAACCTGTATTTAAATTTGTAATGTTCTGAAACTGATAAGATGTAACAATGACCTGAATTATGATCTACTTAATATTAGAACATACATGTATTGAATATTTTTATCAATATTGATACAAAACATAAACAAAAAAAATTTACATTTGCATTGTTGGATAGACAGCATTAAAGGGATTATATATATAATATATATAGTAAACCATTTCAATGATTGAACTTTAGCATGCTATTTACCTAAATAAATGATTGATAATTATCTGTGATCAATGGCCTTGATAAGGCGTAGGAGGAAATGGAAGTAAGTCTGAAATAGATGCAGAAAAATGTGAAATGAACCATTTGTGTCAAAAATCCATAGAAAGTTGTGTATACATATATGCTTACATGAATAAAATTTTCATGCTCCAAGAAACCTCTGTTTTATAATTCATATACATGAAAAGGAATTTGTGTTTTAAAATGGGTTTTAACTGTTACAGCTCTACGAGGGCCGTTCAAAAATTACGCGGACTGTGCTATTATTTACTCTTACAGACGTCATATAGTTATAAAATTTCACAGAAATATGTATCTTAAAGATTCCAATAAATTTTGGGCAAAAATTCTGTATTTTAAAATAATTCTACTATAAAATTATCGGTATGTTGATATATTTTTAATGGAGAGGCACACGACAAAAAAATTGAAGCAGAAAGCATGCGGTTCAAAAATTTAACTCATTGATTTTCTAAAATTCGCGATATTTTTCAACAATTTTCTCAAATATACCTTTAAAGTGTTCTGTTATTATGTATTTAGATTTCGGACGTAATATTTGAAGCACTAACAGAAATATAGTGATTTTTCTCTGATGCGATTCCCGTGCAAACGACAGTGAAAATGACGTCTACTGAAATGACGGCGCACCACACTTTTGTTAAAATATGTGTAATGCTCGAGATATCGGCAGCATCGATCCAAAATATGCATAATAAAACATGTAGTAAACTAGGCTACTCGTGACATTCGCCCGCAGATAGCAAATTGAAATTTTACAACAGTTAGAGAACCTCTGTAAAAAGGCTATACGGAGGACGGGAAGAAGAATTATAGACAGAAAAGTTAAACTTTATCCGGACTGTAGAGAACGTGATTGAGAGTCACCTATATCACACTATATCTCATAAGTAGTTTTTGGTTTTAAGAACAAAAAAAAAGAATATCCTTTACTTCTTTAATAGATTTTAAGCTTGACAAGAAATGGTGTTTTGATGTTGAGTAGATAAGGTAACTCAAACTATACAGGTACTCAAGGGAAAATGTAGAAAATGAAAGCTCAATCACATATTTTTTATAATGCTTGTGACGTCGAAGATTTTGCTGCGCCGTGACTTAATGGTATGTCCTGAAAAATCACTCAAAATTAATACCAATTTACAACATTTTGATATGAAACTTTGAAGACCACATATGTAAAGATTCTTTTATATTATTTGTGAAATTTTGCCCGATTATGTCGTCAAATATTTCTTCTGTGCAACAAGTCCGCGTAATTTTTGAACGGCCCTCGTATGTGGCATATCTGAGATAAAAAATAAAAATACACCATAAAGTGCATGTAGATTTACCTGATATTTGTTATTTATGTTCCAATTCAATTTTGCAGTGATTTTGAACTGTTCTATAGTTTAATTGACTTTACACTGTGGCTTATATTTAA